CTCAGCTGCCGGTCCTGTAATATCGGCGATTCCGGTGCCAATCTGGTACTGATCATCGGGTACGGGCACTGTTTGTATACACCCGATCGTAAACAGACAAATACCCAGCATAAAAACCTTCATATTTGTTTGTCTATTATTTGTCACACAAATTAACAATGAATGGGATTCTTATTGAATTGCAATATTAAAGAATTGACTTAAAACCACGTCAATAGGTTTAGACTTGGCAGTTAATATTATTGGGAATAGATTTTTCATTTGTAAATCACATAGTTTTATACCATTGACTTTCTAGAATGTAATAAATTACATAATAACTCATGATTAAATTGCGTATACTAAGCTAGTCAATATTTAAACAATTAATAATTAAATTGCATAACATGATTAATTTGTACTTTAACTAAACCAGTAAGTTCATAAATCAAGCTTTAATATATTTTTTATATTTTACAAACTTTACCAAATGTTAGACATAAGTTAAATAATAATTAATTAATTAATTAACCTTGATCATTGAATATTACTCACTTTGATTTATTATAATTATTATTAAATGTACCGTATAAGTTAATACTTTGCACTCAAATATTTTTTAACAATTTAGAAAATTATATTACTTTATTAATCATTTTAAAATTTAAAAACCTTTATTACAATAGCATATAATGTAAAATTGATAGATTATGTTTCAAAAATATAGAGTTGACTGCACTTGAAATGTGTTGGAGGTAGCAGTGAATGGTGTGATGTGTCCCTATAGTTACCACTCGGAGTATTGGCCGCAATACTCCAAATGACATCCACTTCACTATAGCCTAACACAGCATTAGTTCTCCTCCAATGGAATCTGAATTCAAATCATTACAAGTATTTCATTATTTATATTACAGAATAATAATATTATAATTATATTATATTATATTATAATTTCTATATTCTCGCACAGAATACTATATGTCTTAGGTTAGTCATACTTGGTCTCCCAGTTGGCATCGGTGGCGATCACATCCCATTTGTCACCGTTTTGTTTCTCAACGGTCAGGTATGTTGATTCAAGTTTGGCATTATTGCGGGGGTGGGCGCCAACAAAGGTCACCATAACCTCACTTCCCGTATGATATGTGTCCTTTGCATTCGTCAACACATCCCCTGTAATAACAAATCTAATCATTTAAAACTTTATTAAATATTTTTAATTATGAAAATCAAACCGAATTTGTGTCCAATCTTTGGTTCATCCAAAATGACTCCGGGTTTTACTGTTATCTCATCCTTAAGGAGGTTTGGAAACACAGGTCCCGGCGCTACACGAGTTTGTTTGGCCATATTGTTAGCCAAATAGACATACTGTTGGATATATGCCTGTAGAGTGTGCGGGCCATACATTGTGGACCCGCCTTCGTATCTCTGGACCTGATATTCTTCATACGTCGCGATATAATTGCTGTAAGTGTTGGCCAGACCCGTGAGCGTCACCTTTACTTCTTGTCCGTTATCTGCGAAGGCTTTGGTGATGGCGTCTCTCATCCTTCTGCCGGACATTGTGGTGAACTCACCGGGAAGTCCGGCAATCACTACATTGCCTATTCTTAAAAGCTGGGTTGGCATCAGATTAGGTGCCCACTGGTAGGGGAAAGTCATTTCGCCAACCGGTAGGAGAATGGCTTTCGGCGCCTGACAGTGATCTGTTTGGTCGGTGTTGTGATCAGATTGCGGATGAAATCCCAGAATTTGGGTTCTTCTCCTGAATGGGTCCCCTGTTTGAACTGGTAGTCAAATTCAGGTATTAGTGTAGCCATTGACTGATTAGATCGATAATTATCAACTCATACCATAGTAGCTCCCTCTCCATCAGTAGTACCGGCGCCGAAAGAGAAACCTAGTGCTGGTTTGCATGTCTTGACGGTCTGGTTGGCCGATAAAACCACTTCATAGTCAGACATATCTATGTTCTGATAAATGTATTCAATGCTTCNAGATAATTATGATTTGATTTCAGATTTCATGGGAAGAGAACTAACACTGTGTTAGGCTATAGTGAAGTGGATGTCATTTGGAGTATTGCGGCCAATACTCTGAGTGGTAACTGTAGGATCAGATACTTCGGTGACCACAAGAACCTGTGCCCATCTCTGCCACAACAAACACATTTCAAGTGTAGTCAACGCTATAGTTTTAAAAATATTATATTATTATATATTGTGTGCTAATGTACTGTATGATAAATCAAAGTATAAAAACAGTTATAGATTACTATATTAGAATTTAATATTAATTAGAAAAGTTCGAGTACAAAGTATTATAATCGTCTTATTATAATATAAAATAGAGTACTAATAGTGCAAGGTAGGTTCAACGAGCAAGGTCAATTTAATAATGAATTTTGTGGTCAATGTTTGCTGCAGCAATCAAGCAAAGCTGTCAAATATAGAAAATTAAATTAAAGTTTAATTTTGCATACAGTATTATAAAGTAATACAAGTTTTTACTTTAAATATTTAAAAAAGGATATGAATTATAAATGAAAAATCCATATTATTTCTCACGACAATAGTCTATTGTAAGAAATGTACTAAACTTATTGACGTGTGACTTTATCACATAATAAGTGATTATATAACTCACAGGTTAGTCCTGTTATTGATAATGATTTTAAATCCTCTTGACTTTATCGCCTATTTGTTGTCAATATAAGTGAAGACATAATCACTTTTTACAGTCATTTGTTTGGTACAGTATTACGATTCATAAAAATCGTTTTCTTTGTTAACTTGAGTTAGAAATAATAGACAAACAAATATTTGGCAAAAATGAAGATTCTTATGTTAGGTATTTGTCTATTTATAATCGGGTGCACACAAACAGCACCCGTACCTGATGATCAGTACCAGATTGGCACCGGAATCGCTGATATTACAGGACCGGCAGCTGAGATCAATATGGTATACAAATTGCTATAAATATAACAGTAGTTTACAATTTTATAAAAAATATTTTTAATTTTTTAACACTTAATCAATGAATAGATGGGTTACGCAAAGTTGGGTCAGGACACCAGTGGTATTCACTTAAGACTGTTTAGTAGGGCTGTCATAATAGTGGACAACACAGGCAATAGGATTCTGTATATCACTGCAGATCTTCAGGGAATCGCACAGATAATCAAAATGGAAGTCAGTATTACAGGCATTCATGCAATTTTAATCTAATTTAGAAACCTTTTCAACTGATTTGCATTAGAATTCACTCAATCATTATATTTTGCATAAATTTATAAACATGTAAATCACTGAACAGGTAGTGAAAGCACTGGAAGCCAAATATAAGGATCTCTATCATCACGAGAATGTGTTAATTAGCGCAACGCATACCCATTCAGGACCGGGAGGTTTCTTCCAGTATTTATTGTACATATTTACGACCGAGGGTTTCATTAAAGATAGTTATCAGGATATAGTCGATGGTATCATGAAAGTAAGTATGGCTATATAACAAATCGTTAGATTAATAAATAATAGAAACATATGCTAATATTGTTGCAGAATCTCATATAAAAGAATATTCTGTTTTTATCCTAGAGTATAGACATGGCTCACAATAATCTCAAACCTGGATATATCTACTGGAATGAGGGGGAGTTGACTGACTCGAGTGTCAATAGAAGTCCCGCCGCTTATGATAACAATCCCAAAGAGGAAAAGGATAAGTGAGTGGACAGGGAGTCATAGATTAATTAAAAAGACTAAATGAATTTAACTAACTTTAATTTAGATACAAATATAATACCGATAAGATAATGAACTCAATGAAATTCACTGACTTGAATGGTGAGCCACTAGCCCTGGTCAATTGGCACGCTGTCCATTGTGTGTCTATGAATAACTCAAACACTTTGATTAGTAGCGATAATAAGGGATATGCGTCCCTGTTATTTGAGTCCGAAATAAATAAGGGACTGCCGGGAAAGGTATGTAGAAAATATTTAATTTAATTTAACAAAATAAAAAATTCTGGGCATATAGTGCCAATACTGCGATAACCAATAATCAAAAATATAATCAAAATTATATTGACATCCCTTTTGCTCCATTTATAATTTATAATTTGATAAATATTTTTATATTTGACAAGATTTATAAAATCAAATACCTGTATACAAAACTTAGGGCCCATTTATAGCCATCTTTTCACAAGCAAATGAAGGCGATTCCACACCCAATACGGCTGGTCCTCGATGTATAGATACCGGACTTCCTTGTGATTTGGTACACAGCACTTGCGGTGGAAAGGTATTAGTTTTGAGTTAATTAGTAAACTAATAATTTAAAAAATTTTAATTAAAATGTTTACCATTACTAAGAACGAGAAGTGCATAGCCTTTGGTCCGGGGAAAGACATGTTTGAATCGACACAAATCATTGCACAAAAACAGTACCAAAAGGCCAAAGAGCTGTTCGTCAGCACCAGTCAAACCAAACTGAAGGGAAGCATTGAATACATCTATCAGAACATAGATATGTCTGACTATGAAGTGGTTTTATCGGCCAACCAGACCGTCAAGACATGCAAACCAGCACTAGGTTTCTCTTTCGGCGCCGGTACTACTGATGGAGAGGGAGCTACTATGGTATGAGTTGATAATTATCGATCTAATCAGTCAATGGCTACACTGAATAACTATATTTGACTACCAGTTCAAACAGGGAACCCATTCAGGAGAAGAACCCAAATTCTGGGATTTCATCCGCAATCTGATCACAACACCGACCAAACAGATCACTGACTGTCAGGCGCCGAAAGCCATTCTCCTACCGGTTGGCGAAATGACTTTCCCCTACCAGTGGGCACCTAATCTGATGCCAACCCAGCTCTTAAGAATAGGCAATGTAGTGATCGCCGGACTTCCCGGTGAGTTCACCACAATGTCCGGCAGAAGGATGAGAGACGCCATCACCAAAGCCTTCGCAGATAACGGACAGGAAGTAAAGGTGACGCTCACGGGTTTGGCCAACACTTACAGCAATTATATCGCGACGTATGAAGAATATCAGGTCCAGAGATACGAAGGCGGGTCCACAATGTATGGCCCGCACACTCTCCAGGCATATATCCAACAGTTCACATATTTGGCTAACAATATGGCTAAACAAACTCGTGTAGCGCCGGGACCTGTGTTTCCAAACCTTCTTAAGGATGAGATAACAGTAAAACCCGGAGTCGTTTTGGACGAACCAAAGATTGGACACAAATTCGGTTTGATTTTCATAATTTAAAATATTTAATAAAGTTTTAAATTATTAGATTTGTTATTACAGGGGATGTGTTGACGAATCCAAAGGACACATATCATACGGGAAGTGAAGTTATGGTGACCTTTGTTGGCGCCCACCCCCGCAATAATGCCAAACTTCAATCAACATACCTGACCGTTGAGAAACAAAACGGTGACAAATGGGATGTGATCGCCACCGATGCTAACTGGGAGACTAAGTATGACTAACCCTAAGATATATAGTATTCTGTGATAAATAATGAAATACTTGTAATGATTTGAATTCAGATTCCATTGGAGGAGAACTAATGCTGTGTTAGGCTATAGTGAAGTGGATGTCATTTGGAGTATTGCGGCCAATACTCCGAGTGGTAACTATAGGATCCAATACTTCGGTGACCACAAGAACCTGTTGGGACACATCACACCATTCACTGCTACCTCCAACACATTTCAAGTGCAGTCAACTCTATATTTTTGAAACATAATCTATCAATTTTACATTATATGCTATTGTAATAAAGGTTTTTAAATTTTAAAAATGAATAATAAATTAATATAATTTTCTAAATCATTAAAAAATATTTGAGTGCAAAGTATTAACTTATACGGTACATTTAATAATAATTATAATAAATCAAAGTGAGTAATATTCAATGATCAAGGTTAATTTATTAATTAATTATTATTTGACTTATGTTTAACATTTGGTAAAGTTTGTAAAATATAAAAATAGATTAAAGCTTGATTTATGAACTTACTGGTTTAGTTAAAGTACAATTTAATCATGTTATGCAATTTAATTATTAATTGTTTAAATATTGACTAGCTTAGTATACGCAATTTAATCATGAGTTATTATATAATTTATTACATTCTAGAAAGTGAATGGTATAAAACTATGTGATTTTCAAATGAAAAATCTATTCCCAATAATATTAACTGCCAAGTCTAAGCCTATTGACGTGGTTTTAAGTCAATTCTTTAATATTGCAATTCAATAAGAATCTCATTCATTGTTAATTTGTGTGACAAAAAAATATTTACCGAAAATATGAAGGTTTTTATGCTGGGTATTTGTCTGTTTACGATCGGGTGTATACAAACAGTGCCCGTACCCGATGATCAGTACCAGATTGGCACCGGAATCGCCGATATTACAGGACCGGCAGCTGAGATCAATATGGTTTACAAATTGTTGTATATTTCGATAATAATTTAACAATTATTTTACTAGAAATTTTAAAAACTTTGAATTTATTTTCAATGAATAGATGGGTTACGCAAAGTTGGGTCAGGACACCAGTGGTATTCACTTAAGACTGTTCAGTAGGGCTGTCATAATAGTGGACAACACAGGCAATAGGATTCTGTATATCACTGCAGATCTTCAGGGAATCGCAGATATTATCAAAATAGAAGTCAGTATTACTCGCAGTCATAATATTTAACATAATTTTGAAAAATTACAATTGATTTGTATATTATTATATTATATTATTTATAAAAAACATGTTAATTTTGAATAGGTACTGAATGCACTGGAAGCCAAATATAAGGATCTCTACCATCACGAGAATGTGTTAATTAGCGCAATTCATACCCATTCAGGACCGGGAGGTTTCTACCAATATTTACTGTACAGCGTCACGACCGAGGGTTTCATTAGAGACTGCTATCAAGATATAGTCGATGGAGTCGTTAGAGTAAGTGATTAAAGAATTTTAAATTTTGTAACCGAGTTTAATTTTAAGAATATTCTGTTTTTATCCTAGAGTATAGACATGGCTCACAATAATCTCAAACCTGGATATATCTACTGGAATGAGGGGGAGTTGACTGACTCGAGTGTCAATAGAAGTCCCGCCGCTTATGATATCTGGATATATCTACTGGAATGAGGGGGAGTTGACTGACTCGAGTGTCAATAGAAGTCCCGTCGCTTATGATAACAATCCCAAAGAGGAAAAGGATAAGTGAGTGGACAGGGAATCATAGATTAATTATAAGAATATATGAATTTTAACTAACTTTAATTTTAGATACAAATATAATACCGATAAGACAATGAATTCAATGAAGTTTACTGACTTGAATGGTGAACCATTAGCCCTGGTCAATTGGCATCCCGTTCATTGTGTGTCTATGAATAACTCAAACACTTTGATTAGTAGCGATAATAAGGGATATGCATCCCTATTATTTGAGGCCGATTATAATAAGGGACAATTACCCGGGAAGGTATTTGAAAAATATTTTTACAAAGCTTTTCAAATATATAATTTTAAAAGTTGCCAATATTTAACATTGATTTTATCATTTTATGACCAATACTATTGAATTATTTGTTATTTACAGTTGATAAACTTTATTAAAATTATTGTTATAGAATTGAATTGTTATAGATATAAATGTAAATATCTATAAAATTAAATACCTGTATATTACAATCAAAACTTAGGGCCCATTTATAGCCATCTTTTCACAAGCAAATGAAGGCGATTCCACACCCAATACGGCTGGTCCTCGATGTATAGATACCGGACTTCCCTGTGATTACGTTAGCAGCACTTGTGGTGGAAATGTATTACCTTTTATTTATTAGTTATTTATTCAATCAATTAATTTCAGTTAAAATGTTTACCATTTCTAAGAACGAGAAGTGCATAGCCTTTGGTCCGGGGAAAGACATGTTTGAATCGACACAAATCATTGCACAAAAACAGTACCAAAAGGCCAAAGAGCTGTTCGTCAGCACAAATCAAACCAAACTGAAGGGAAGAATTGAATACATCTATCAGAACATAGATATGTCTGACTATGAAGTGGTTTTGTCGGCCAACCAGACCGTCAAGACATGTAAAGCTGCGTTGGGCTACTCGTTTGGGGCCGGGACTACCGATGGAGAGGGGGCTACTTTTGTATGAGTTTATTATTATTATCCATTTAATAAATCTATAACAACAGCTAAATGCCCGGATTTGAATACCAGTTCAAACAGGGGACTCGTGAGGGACAGGAGTCTGTATTCTGGGACTTAGTCCGTGATGTGATCACAACACCGTCTAAAGAGATGACTGAATGTCAGGCCCCGAAGGCCATACTCCTAGCGGTGGGCGAAATGAATTTGCCCTATCAGTGGACGCCTGATCTCATGGCAACCCAGTTGTTCAGAATAGGCGATGTAGTGATCGCCGGATTTCCCGGTGAGTTAACCACAATGTCTGGTCGTAGGCTGAGAGACGCCATCACCAAAGCCTTCGCAGATAACGGACAGGAAGTAAAGGTGACGCTCACGGGTTTGGCCAACACTTACAGCCATTATATCGCGACGTATGAAGAATATCAGGTCCAGAGATACGAAGGCGGGTCCACACTGTATGGCCCGCACACTCTCCAGGCATATATCCAACAGTATGTCTATTTGGCTAACAATATGGCCAAACAAACTCGTGTAGCGCCGGGACCTGTGTTTCCAAACCTTCTTAAAAAGGAGATAACAGTTAAACCGGGAGTTATTGCGGACTCACCAAAGATTGGACACAAATTCGGTTTTAATTTTAATAATGTAGACAATTATCACAAGTTTTACACAAATGATTGCTGATTACAGGGGATGTGTTGCGGAACCCAAATAACACATACCATACGGGAAGTGAAGTGAATGCAACCTTTGTTGGCGCCAACCCTCGCAATAACCCCAAACTGGACTTAACATACCTGACCGTTGAGAGACAAAACGGTAACACTACGGCATGGGATGTGATCGCCACCGATGCCAACTGGGAGACCAAGTATGACTAACCATTATACTACTGGTGCTCTAGAAATGAAATAATTTGAATGAATTCTTTACAGATTTCATTGGAGAAGAACTAACACTTTGTTAGGTAATAGTGAAGTGGATGTCATTTGGGATATTCCGGCCAATACTCCGAGTGGTAACTATAGGATCAGATACTTTGGTGACAACAAGAATATATTGGGAAAAATTACACCATTCAATGCCACCACAAACACTTTCCAAGTGCTCTGAACATCTGATTTTAGATCATTTTTAAATGGATACTATATTAATAATCTAATTTAAAATTTGATCAATTAATATCATTTTATTAAAATCTAATACATAATACTGTAAGTACGGTAATATTTTTTAGAAATTTCCATTTCAAATAAATTCAAACTAATTCTCAATTAAAATGTTCAAAACTTTATTATAGAAATATTATAAAAGAAATAAATACTTTTCAAACATTAAACAATTTGCAGATTTATAAGAGATTTATAATAAAATATTATATAATAATTCAATATAACGTAAAATATAGGAAACATATCATAAAAACTATACGACTATTACGGGTAATACTATTAATAAAGTTTTCAGATGTGAAGAAAATTGACTTTCAAATTGTAGGGCACTTCTCGACCCAATTGTTTGAAGTCTTATATAATGCAACTGTTGAACAGACACCCAAACCACTTGTTTGGCCTCTGGATCGCCAACTTTACGAACGCCACAATGGATTCAGTGGTGATGTCTTCACAGTACGAGACATCGATGTGTTTGAGTTGAGCGCAGTCTTTGACCACTTTTATCAGCAACTGATCCGACAGTTCCGGTTCACTGGACAGCTTCAGATGTGTCAGGCGTTGCATCCGACCTATAGGTGCCAAACAGGCCGTTAGGTCGTCGGTGTAGAAGCGGACGGAAGTTAACTCCAGTTTCTTAAGCGCCGGCAAAAACTTAGCGATCCCTTCGACACAGTCGGTGGTCAGCGCCGTCGACTCGATACGAACGGTACGCATGTGGGGACAGGCCTTCAGGAACCGGATGTCGTAGAAACCAACGATAGGGACGTCGCCATATATAATTAGGTGTAGTTTCTCTAACCGCTCCAGACATGAGATATCGCTGAAGTATTGGTAGACATGCATCGGAGTGATGTCTGGTGTGAATGTGGAACAGTAGAGACTCCGGAGGGCCGGGAAGTGGTCCGCAATACCGCCCATCCATTTCAGATCAATTAAATCAAACAGTTTTAAGTCTCGCAATTGATTGGCGCGTTTAGCGCCCAAACACTGTATGCCTGCCTCGTCGAACAGATACCCGGGTGTTTGGATCACTTTAATACCAGTGTTCATGTGCCTGAACACCAGTCCCCGGTAGGTCTCGACGTCTATATGGCGTTCACTGTTCGACAACAGACCCATCAGAATAAAGACCTCAAGTTGTGGTAAATTCTTGAGCAGTGTTTCGATGGTCTTCTCTTTGATCAACACATAGAATGACTCGAATTGAAAGCACCGGAGGTTTGGGTAGCTCTGTGTCAACGCCTGTATCTCGGCTTCAGTGACCGTAACCAACAAACGTTTATAAATGATTGACAATTGTCTCAAATCTCGGTCACAACTGGCGATCACTGATTGCAATAAATTAGCCGTTATTTTCCATCTCACGAGACGAATGTATAGTTTGTTTAAATTTGGATACTTCGCGATGATTCGTGACAATAGGCGCTCAAAATCTTTGGCAGTGATTGCTGTGATGTCAGCCACGAAGTGGTTCAACGATATGATGGACAGCCGGTGGTCGCCGAGTCTCAGTTTGTATGGATTGAAATCGCCGTATCCTTTGCTATGCGTTTCGATGTCTTCGACCAAAAGTGTGGTCTTCTCGGCCAACGTGTAGTCCAGGAGTCGGTGCCACCGCTTACAGACTGCCTGTGCTCTCAATTTGGTCCGGAAGTCCAGGCGATTGAATATTTTGACNCCGCCAAGAAGTGCCGCCAAAAGAAGTTGGAGACCATCGCCAGCCTCGAGAAGGAGCGCCTGGCGCTGGAGGTCGACAACAAGGAGTTCGAGAACGTGTTGTCGGTGCTCCGGAAGCGCTTGATGAACACTCGGCTCAAGATCATTGATCACGTGTTGGCCGATACCGGGGCCGTGTGTCGAGTCCGCCGTCGACCCCATAATTGAAGTCATTATTATTTGTAACCAAAACTTTATTGTTTGTTTATTTAATGCCATATTTTTCATACCATTTATTAGATTTACTTTTCTATTATTTATATCAATAGTTTGTGTGAATATTGAATTAATTTACTCCATTTGGTTGACTATTTATAGATTTATTTAACGCTTTAATAATTTAACTATTTTCGACAAATTATTTTCTGACCACATATTGTGCCTATCATTTCATTCTCTAATTTTGTATTTCATTTATTTGAAGTTATTATTTTGAAATATTTATAAAAAGTAAAGTTTTGGACAAATTCTTGAGGCATTAATTGTCTGTAGTTTTTGTATAAATACCGTTATAATCACCATTTAAGCCATAATTCAATGTGTTTATCTCATAAGAGTGTTAACGCAAAGTATTGGATTACCACTTGACATGACTATAGTATTGAATTATTTGCTCAAAATTTTTATAGGTTTCTATGTATCTCAAGTTAAAAGTAGTTTTAAATGTTTAGGATTTGTGTTCAAACAGATTTATTTTGCTATTTTATTTAATCCAAACATACACACGAGATAATAAAACCATGGCATAAATAATTACAAATATTCCGAATAATTGTTATTAATAATTAATTATTCATTCATTAACAATAAATTAATCAATAAGATTATATACAAAAGTATGTTTGACTGATAAAAAAGAAAGTAATAAAATTATTTGACTTTTTTTTTGTAAATTATAGTTATTTTGTAATGAATATTTCCCTACCTTTTATGCAATGGTGTCCTTTGATTAAGACTTTATGGTTATTTGGATAATTTGATGCGGGTGAGTCATTCACTACTGTATACATGTATTATATGGCGTTCATTATAATTGGTAAGTGTTTGTTTAATACCATTCATTTCATATTTCATTAATTTATGGCTGAAAGTGGTTAATAATTATAAAATATTTAGATTTCAATGATATAAGAATTAATTTTATTTTAATTATCATATAATTTTGAGATTATAGTTTATTAAACAGCTGTGCAAATGTTTAGACTATGGGTTAACTTTAAAATAAAAATCTAATCCTCAAATAATTTTTATCAATCATTTGAATCCCTTTCGATATGAGATTATTTTTAAATACTAGTAAAAAAGTAGATTTATATGAGTGGACAGGGAGGCAGAGGTTAAATACTAATGAATAAGAGATCATGAATTTAACTTTCTTAATTAAATATTAGATATAAATATCTGACTCCCTGTCCACTGGCATACATCTACTATTTTACTAATATTTAAAAGTAATCTCATATTTTACTATAACTACTAAAAAGTATTTGAGTAAATAATTTTACTGAAATAAAACATATTCACGTAGACATACATTGTATTCTTTATTCAAACGTAATTTCACATGTGAAAAGGTTTTGAATAAAACGTGGTTTTTTAAGGATTATTAGAATTGGAGAGTGATCTGAACTCGGGTCTAAAATTAGATAAACTCACATTTGAGATTTGTTTTTATGCTATCATTTAAGTCCATAACTCAAATGCTATCACTTGTTATCCAAACACTGGTCTCTGTATTCAAATTAAATCCCAAAATGAATGACTCGATGGCGGACTCGAAGATCAATGAATTGCCGAACGAATTATTGGTCAAAATATTCAATCGCCTGGACTTCCGGACCAAATTGAGAGCACAGGCAGTCTGTAAGCGGTGGCACCGACTCCTGGACTACACGTTGGCCGAGAAGACCACACTTTTGGTCGAAGACATCGAAA